TGTTTCAACCATAGGCAAAGCTGCATGGCAAGATCTGAGAGCTGTGCAGTGTTTTCCAGGGTGGTTTTCTGGCTAGTATGTGAGGAGAGGAGGTAAGTGTTCAAGCAGAGAATAAGCTGGGAATAGAAGGTGACGAGGATCAATAATTAACAGAAAGTCTTAAAATGCAGCCTCTGCTTTCTTGTGCTTCCCTCCCACCTCCTTTCAGATTGAAATTATTTTCCTGATGGTAATTTACAACCTAATTCCTCAGTCTGTCCTTCATGAGAGACATGACCACACTGGTGAATCTAGCAGTGCTGTTTGCTGCTGCTGAGAGCAATTAAATTGTTGACAAGAGCAGAGCTGCAGAATGGGAAGATAATTAATACAAAAGTGTGTGATGGTGGAGTCGTTTTCTGTGCTCTGTTCAGGTGTCTTCCTAATAAGTCTCAAGTGGAAGGGATGGATTATGGCTGCCTACAGAAGACTAGGTGTGGGAAATAGCTTTCTTGCAAAACATTTGAGACTCTTGTCTAGGCTGTCTGAAGGCTGTGCCTTTGTGCAGTAGCACTGTTATGGTCAGTCTCAGGTGTATAATTATCTGTAGGATGTGTGAAAATATATGATGCCCAAGAAATTTCTGCTATTTGCAAATCATCTTAAATTCTTCTGAATACTTGGTATTTGAGAGGATTGAGAACCTCATCTGGCAAGGATTTTTCAAGATTCTTGTACTAATTGAATTTTTTACTGCTGTCCCTTTTAAATTGTTCAGACATATATTTATTGCAGCTGAAATATCTTTGAGATGGGAATTGGTTCAGGGAATCATCTGTTTACTCACATTTCTAACATCTCATGGTCACTTTTTTGTTGCATTCAGCCTAAAATGCCTATGTTTGCAGCTGGTTTGATTTTTCAAGATGGTCTTGAAAGTGTAGTTGTCTTCACAGATTCAAAGCTTCTGCTCTATTTCATCTCTTGGATCCACTGTATTTTGCCTGTTCTTTTCAAGACAGATGGTGTATACACTGCGAGTGTTTTAAAGCAAGTGTTTCATGTTCCTTCGTCTTCAGAGCTTCTAATACAGACTTTGTCACAGTTGGTTTCTTAAATATATTGTACTAATGTATGGAGTGGTAGGCTGTACTAATTCATGTTATTGAGTAGTTCATTCACAACCAGGAATTTGTCTTTTGTGGAAGGTCTTGATTGAAAGTCTTCAGTAGCCACTCAGTAGGATGTTCTCTCTGGCAGAAGAAGTACATGCTGGCTAACATCAAGTTTCTAACCTTTGCCTCTTTGTGCCAACACTTCTTGGCCAGATCTTAATTTCATTGCCCTTAGGACTGCTTTGACAGTTCTTTCAAATGAATTATACTCTTATTTCTATCTGCTGTTCTCAGATGTGTCTGCTTCATAATTTATGAAAGAAATATTCTCATCATACCTTAATATTAATTGCTCTATTTTTCTGAGAGGACAGACCTGTGCCCACATGCTTATGTGTTTGTGCACTGCATGTGTAGGTAACATGATCTTTAACGTCTCAGCAATGATTTGGAGCTTCCCTGTGGAACATTTTGAGTAATATTTTCAAGCTATAAAAGTGATATATACCAAAAGCTTTTGTAACATGCCAAGAGGGTGGCTGAGACCAGAGCTTCCTGCAGGGTCCCCTTGGAGCTGTTAGTCTTCTTTTATTCATTAACTAGTCTGGAGTTGAGCTAAGGCTGGAGGGAGGCACACCAGGTGGGTGGCACTGGAGATGACCTTTCTTTGTAAAACAAATAGAACTTCTGCTGCTTTTCTTGCTGTCACCTGTGTTACATATTTGTTACATGTAGTGAGTTATCACTGGTGGCCTTTATTATGTGGTGGCCCTTTGCAGTCCATATTATTTAAGACAGTCCTTAGAAGATTTTAATACTTCAGCCTTGCTGATTTGAGCTAACAGTGGAGGTGTCAGTTGACATACTGAGCTGCACTGCAAATTCCTTATCTATTTAATTCCTACTGAAACAGAACGTTTGAAAACAAGTCATGTTGAAAGAGACGTTTGTCAAGCAACAGCAACCAAGGTCTGCCCCAGAATAAGACTGTTGGAATATTTTCCTTTTGTTTATTTGCTTTAGATAAGCTCAGTAAGACATACATATGAAATTGACTTATTGTTCTAAAGGATGGGAAAAAAAACAAAAACAAACGGCTTTGAAGACTTGTTCTTAAATTATAAACCCTTAAATTATAAACCCTAGCACTTTATCAGCTGTGTTACTGAGCTGTAGGAATCTTTATATAAACCATTTAGAAATCCTTAGTCAAACTTTTGACTTAATGAACTATTTAATGAACCTTAACATTGTTATTTTCTGTATTTAATTCTATCCAAGATCAGCTTGACATGTGCCTTAAAGAGCTTTTGGATACTAGTAAATACAATTTACATAGCATAAAAATAAAGAACTATATGTATAAGAATTATACATATAAAACAGATGAGCAAAAAGTGCTGTCAATCTTAGCACAGATTTATTTGTTTCAAATCAAGTTCCACTTAAGGAGAGTTAACCTTTCTTCTGGAAAGCATAGATACAGAATTTTAGTATAATTGATTGTTTAAATCAAGACTTCGTCCTTTTAGATTTAAATTAGAATTGATGGGTTTGTTTATTTTGGTGTAAGTCAATCTGCTTTAGCTAAAAGTGAGAGCTTATTTGTCAGAACCCTGGAAGTCAAATTGGTAAATTCCTTGTTGCTCAAGAGAAATGGATTGAGGGATGTCTTTGTAGATGTTCTCCTGCTGTAGCTCTGGGCCTCGAGGGGGGAGTGCATTCATCAGCTCTAATTTTTAACTAAAGCAGAAAGGCTGAAAGCCTGTTAGTGGGATGGAGATGGGTATTGGTTTTTCCTCCTTCCTGCCTTCCCTCCTTAGCAAATGTAAACTCCTCGTGATTACTGTCAAGATGTTCTTTCACTGCTGTTTATAGCTGAAAGGGAGGCCTTTGGAAATGTATTTTAGTCTTGTGGCAGTGCTCAAATAGCAGTCAGTAAGTTCTTGGCTGCCTGTGCAGTTTCAGGTGATGCTCCTCTTCAATGTGCATGTATGGATGGACATAGATTATATGCATGTATTAATAATTATGTATTCTGAAGTATAATAATAACAACAACAATAATAATTATGTTATGATGAGGTAGCCTCTAGACAAACCATGAAAAGAGAAGGCTAATTGTTGTCAGGGATAAAAATAATATTTTCTCCATTCATGCTAAAAGTTCTTTCTTGGCTTGATAAAAACTGAGATTGTGGCAGCAACTTTTGCTTGAAATTCTCAGGCCTTTTACCATAGGTGGCTGGAATTGACTTCAGGGTCCCTTTTGGCTCCTAGTGTTTATCCTTTTGTGGAAGTGATCATGAAGTAATAGCTGTTTAAACCTAACAAGATCTTATGATAGGAAAACAAATTAAATGTCAACAATTATGAAAATTACTTTAAATTTTGACCCTACATTTGAAGACATTGCATAAATGTAATAACATATTGTCTGTGAATAACATGGAGGAATGTAAAACATACTGAGGGGCCTGTGTGATGCTAGAACTAGAGATGGCCATAGAAGATACTGAGAACATGTTGTTTTATTCTTCTAAGATATGTTAGCCAGGTTATGGTTAAAAGAATTTTAAAATGTGTCATTCTGAGCTATTTGTAACTGTTGAAGTTCTGTGGGAGTCACTTTTACAGAAAAAGTGGTTATACCTGGTAAAAGGTAGGGTTTATATTTTCTTTATGCATCAATCTTTTGTGCTAGGTTTCAAAGCAAGTAAGAACAGCCAGAGGTTTGCTTTTGATATAACAACATTCAGAATTCTAGCATTGTGAACAGAGTGTGTTGAAAGACTTTAGCATGGAGAGTTTTTAGTTTCCAGTGTAAAGTTGCATTAGGATAATATTTTTCTATCATGCTGGTAGAGATCAAAGTATTAGAATAATAAATAATCCTTTGTCTAACAAAGTTAAATATATAGTGCTAGCTGGCACACTGTGCTGCTTGCTTCAGAAGAATCAAGAACTGATTGTAGGCTGTCTGCCAGGAGAACAACAGTTAGTGTCTCTGTGTAGGAAGAGCATCTTTTGCTGGCGCAAAATGGGATTATGCTGTTGTCAGGAGCTCCTTTTTGGGTAAAAAATTATCCTGTGGAGAAAATAAGTTCTGCCCTAAAATCATTCCTATGACTTCTATAGCATCTCTCCTGTGCTCAATATTTACCACCAAGAGAAGCAAATCTGATGTCTGTGTGTGTAAGGTTGCCACATCTTTTTATCTATTCGATATATATTTATGCATGCACACACAAACAACTGAACTGGCATGTTGAGAAGAAAAAGTAAATTCTTCTCCAACTGTTATTGTTCTTGTGTGGCTGATGTGGTTGTGCTGATGTCCTCAACAAAATATATTTAAAAGTGCAGGCACAAATAACAGATCACTTCAAATACATACATTATTATATAGTTTCCTACAAGATGTTGCCAATTCCATGTCTGTTGTTTTTCCTCTCAGAAATGCTGTAGTAATTTTATGAGGAAGAAGTATATGAAATTTTCAATGTACCTTAGAGTGTTCAGAATGAAACAATGAATGTGTTTTGAGATAAGTCTGTTAATATTTTTATAGCACAAGTTAGCATACAAACCTAAATAGACATGATTATCCAAGCCAAGTTTGTCAATCTGCATTGATATTAAATGCACAACATTTTGTCTAGCCAAGATCACCTAGTGAGCCTTCTGTAGCTTAAAAAAAAATAAATCTGTAGCTCTCAGAGTAGTTTGGATGCACAAATGTTAGGAAAAGGCAGGTAGGTAAATCAATGCACATTTTACCTTTTTTCTGGAACAGGGTTATTTAACTGCTGGTTTGAGATAACCACAAGGCTGAAGAGCTCAGTTGGCTGTCTCATGAACTGTTTTTAATGAGCATTCTGTTATTTTCCCCTCTCGTTTTTCTAGGCTGTTCAATTAACCCCTAGACGATGGCTGAACCTGCAGGAGTACCAAAGCAAAAAACTAATGGCAGACCATGGGGTTACAGTTCAGAAATTCTTTGTAGCTGATTCTGCAAATGATGCCCTGGAGGCTGCTCAGAGACTAAGTAAGTTGACTGATAATGGGTGGAAATCTGCTTCACCAGATAGCAATCTGGAAAAGAAATTGCTTTCTAATATGTTGTACACAATCTTCAAATTGTTAATTATTAAAAAGGTTTGATACATTATCCAGACTATAAATATATCTTTAATTTCATATGTGAACAACAGTTTAGAACAGTAATGTTTCTCTAGAACTGTATCTTTAAATGTTTTGTAGCACGTAACAGGAAGTCTTTCATTAACATTATTTTAATCATTTTTAAGAACTCAGAATTCGGAATACACTTCATTAGTGGCTCCTGAGGAAAATTAATTGTTGTGATACAACTTAAGGAACTGAAGTAATTGAACTTGCCTAAACAGTTGTTATCAAATAAAAATTTACTCCATTAAAAAACAAAGGAAGAAAAAGGTTGTGCAGTTCCCTTTTTCAAGATATTCAGAACCTAGTGGAGCATTGTCTGCTTTTACTGACCCTGCTTTGAGCAGGTGAATTGGACCAGATGATCTCCAGAGGTCCTTGTAGCCTCAACTGTTCTATTTTTCTACAAAAATATGTAGGAGAGAATTATAGGAATGTATGTTTGTTCGTGTGTATCTTTGTCCATATGGAGAGAAAAAAGATGAGCTGAGTTACCTACACTCACAAAAGGACCTGACAGTGGCTGGCAGACAAGACCATAGTTCTGCAAGTTCATTTTAGTTCTCTGACAACATCCTCATTTTAGTGTGATGAACAGAACATGAGAATGTGGGTCGGCACCAAATTTAAGTCATAACTTTTCTCAGAAGGAAAGGCCTTCAAGTTTGTTTGGCACCCAATTCTAACTCTGAAAGAAGTTTTCTACTTTAATAGTGGTTTGCATAGTTTTCCTCTTTTCATTTAGCTTTTGTTAATGTATCATACATCAAAATGCCAGAAGACAGATGTTATTGTAGTCTAATTGTGTAGTAACAGGAGTATTTTTTGCGTAAAATATTACATAATGCACAAGCCACTTTGTTAAATGCATTTCAGTTTTGTACACTGGAAAGAAAATTAACACAACTTACTCATACCAGGGATCTCATCAGACCTCAAGTAGCTGAACAGAATTACTATAATGGCTTGCTAAATCTCAGTAACTTTATTAAGGTGATATATTTTTCAGTAACCAAAATCTTATATAAACCAGTATATTTGAAAATGGACTTGAAACAAACCCATGAAATGTTACTGTTAGGGTCATTTGGCAGCACAAGCTGAAAAAGGCTGACACAAAGCAGAGCTCATAGAATTGGAGGGTTTCCTCATGTCTGAGAAAAATCAAGAAATGGTAACTGAAGCTGTGGCAGGTTTCTCACACACCTTACAGCACTTACTCTCTTCCTCATGATGGAACTCATAAATGGATCAGTCTATCCAATAACCATTACTATTCTCCATCCCTATTAACTATTTGGAGAAATAAATTACTCCATTAAGAGCAATGAACCTTTTCTGGTTTATGATGCCAGATTTGTTTTAAATAACCTCTATAGCTTGCTTGCTTTGCAAATCACAGAAATATTGGTCTAAAAACAAACAAACAAACAAAACTGTTGAAATTTAAATAATAAAAATATTTTTAAAAGAATTACTAATAAAACCTTATAAGATAAAATTTATGCATTTTAAACTAAGTTGGCTGGTTAATTCTTAAAAATAGGATCAGTCAGTGATATCTTTCCTGATTTTATATAGTTGCATTTGAGCATGCTGTATTCCTGGGCATTAAAGAATTGTGGCTTATTGTGTGGAAGCTGTTTCATGTTGAAATGATTGACACACTCTATTGATCCACTAAATAATTAACAACATCCTTGTAACAATTCTGATAGTGTGCTACCCATGTACTTCTAACATGCCCTTTGAAAACCAAGCATCAAGAACATAAGTTTTGCTGCTATGGTCATTGTTGTTTGAAAATTTCATTACATTTATCTTCTTTGTGATCGTTCAGACCAGTAGTATCTCTGTCACTCACGTTTATCTGCACAAGTTGATAGGAGCTGCCACCTTCTGAATATGCAGCCACACAAAGGAAAGAGTTATGAGTGAAACAAAAAAACTTCAGCCCACAGCAATCACAAAATATTCAAAAATTAAATAGCCAATGGAGGCAACTTTAGCATCTCCTTGATAGACAGGCAGTCTGCAATAAAGGATGGTGAAAAGACAGGCCAATCAACCCTGCCAAGCCCTGCTCAGAAATCTGTTGGTTTATGTACTGTATGTCACATTGCAGCTGCCCTTCACTTTAGCTTCTGCAAGCAAGAAAGGATGCTCGCCAGTGAGTTTTTAAGATAAAGATAAAATAAAGCTATCAGAAATTGCAAGTCAAAGGTTCAGTTATTTCTCTTGTGAAAGGAGGTTCTTTCTATAGATCTGTCATCATGAATACGGGAGAAACAGTTATTTTCCTTTATAATCTTACAGCATTGCATCACTCATAGGGGCCTGTGTGTTTGAGAAGGGGGTGGATAGGGATAGAAATTCCTGACATGGAAGTCTTTACAAAGTTTGTTTTTCACAAATTATTTTCACAGTTTCACTAACTACTACAGGCTCCACAGAGCTGTCTGTACTGTTGCAGTGCCTGTGGTAACCAGTTTTGCAATTGTTGGATATCCTGTTGATGCAATGGAAAGAGATGGGATTAGATAACTTTTGCTGCTGTCTTTCTTGTGTAAGGAAATTGTTAATGCATGTGTTCTTCAAAGTTTGCCTTTATCCAGGATCAGCAGTTTTGTTACAGGTTGCTCATTTCCTCTGTTGCATTCTCTGTTATTATTAATATGTACACTGAATACACTGAATATTAATTTTCTCAGATTTAAAAAACTTAACAACAGCACAGAAGGCAGTCTACAAGGAATTTTTATTGGAATGAAAGGACTGGATTTTTTTTCTTCCAAGATAGGAGTGGCAGATGTGAATAAAATTATAATGACATCACTAATACTGACTTCAAAAGAAGGAGCACAAGGAGCACAGAATTAGGCCCTAAGGAATTAATTCCTTTTACCTGCTAAGCAATTTTCAGGTGTAACTTGTAGAGAAGGTGATATTTACACAATAGGAAGAAATGCAGTCACAAAACTATTTTGTGTTTCCTGTTTTAATTCCTAGATTTTCAAGACAGGAAAGACAGAGGTTGTGCTGTTTTGCTCAAACAGGATGGGGTTGCGTGATCTGCCATTTGAAGAAACACAACCTGTAAACAACTTTAACAAGTTCTAGTGCAGCTGTTTAACAGAAGAAAGTGAAGTATTTGGGAGCCTGGAATGTAAGGTCATCTGACTGTTTCTGCATGAAATCACAAGGCTTCAGATCTGATTCTGCAGTGGTACATTAAGGACTATTAGAATGTGCACATTTTTGTAGCTTGTATTGGGCAGATGCACTGTGCATCTTTTCAGGGTCCATCATTTTCTTTAGGCTTCCCCACCAGAGGCCCTGATGTCTGCATCAACTCGTGCACTCCTCTTTATGTTCTATGTGATGGAGGAGTTTTTAAGACAACCATCATTTCAATCTAGTGGGTGGACAAAGCTGAGAGACATTATAATTATGCTGGAGGGTGTTACTAGGTGCTGTCAAATGGCTCTTTGAATCAGCAGAGATCTTGCAGAGGTGGCTGAAAAAGCTGACAATCCTAAATGGATGCTAGAAGCTTGGCATGTGTTTCTTTTTCTGATTTTTTAACAAAAGCCACAGAGTGCTGCCCGTTGCCACTTAGTGTTTCATTACATTTAGGAATCAGTCAGGTGCCGTGTTCACTCTCTATCACAGAGAAATGCAATTGAATTGAGTGCAAAGCTTTTTATTCACTCTTCTTTAAAAAAATGTATAACAAAATATAGTCTCTGCTTATCCTATTGCTACTGCCTTATGCATGAGGGAACTCATAAAATTCAGCTTAGGACTAAAGGCATGCTTTTTATATCAGGCTGGAGAAGCAAACATGTTTATTGAAGGTTTGTTGAAGCCTCTTTCCATTAGGTCATTTACCTGTCACCTATTATTCACCATTTTTTAGAATATAGAAAGAGTTCTCAGGCATTGGATCACCAGCCTCCTTTCTGTTCAGCCAACTGAGGCTTTTTTCTCTTGGGTATGTTTAATTTAGATGAAAGACTACATTTTTAGACACTGTTTTAGATTCCTTGTTTCAAAGTTAATCTCTACTAGTGCAAGTTGGGAAAACCACTTGAAAGCAAAGTATATTTAGAAGGGGTCAAAAGCTGATCTTTAGCTGAGTAATGCCCTTTTTGTATAGAGTGTGAAAAAGTCACTGGTGATAATGTCTGCATTTAATTGAAGCTTTTGTGTTAAGAAAAACGGAAATTATCCTTGAACCTGATGTTTTGAGGATATTAGAAATGTGTGTTTGGGTTGGTGGGGTTTTTTTGTTATACCAGGAAGAGCTTTTGTATGAGAATCTTGTACAGACCAGCCCTCTGTTAAGGTTATCTCTATGTAACTTAATTTATTCCTTAGTTTTTGAGTTTGTTGGCTAGTTAACTGATCTTTTTACTTTCATCTTGTGCTTTGCCTACATGATTTGATTCCTTTTCTTCTTCTCTCTGTCAGGATAGGCAGGAGACAAATTGCCTTCTTCAGCATTTTTGTGGTTTTTGTATCTCGTTCAGTTACATGGTTCACTATGCAGTAAGAATTTTCACTTATGCATAATAAGTAATTTCTGAAAAGCCCCCGTGTACTTAGTGGTTATAATTGATTATTTTTTTAGAGCCATTTGGATTATGCTTCTCCACATATGTTGAAAAATCATGTGTTGCTGATATAGTGTTTGTTCCACGGAGCTGTGCATGAAGGGCTTGCTCACTGTTAAGGAACAGCTCTCCCATAAGTCCTCTTATTTTCTCTGACAGCTTTTGTTAGAGTTCTTTATACTTAAATTATGGTTTTCTGAAACTATCCTTTCAGGCAAAATGCTGTAAGTTATTGACTAATATG